TACGGGCAAGCTATGGACCACATTGATCAGCTTACCAAAATCGGCCCTGTGCGTCTCTTATTCAAATGAATTCTGGTGCGCCACTCCTGACAAGGTCAGCGTGGATGCCAGCTCGCTGCTGCTCGCACCAAACAACCATCACAAAAAGCGCGGCCCCAAGCCATAGCCTCCCTCATGTCCTGCGTCGTCATTGGCTTCACCAAGCGGATTGCACGCTCGGCAGATTGCTTGTGGGAGCAGAGGGTCTGGCCGTTGTTGAGCTCCAGATGAACCTTTGAACGAAGCGTCGCAATGTAGCCGCAGGGCTCTGGGAACGGGTTCCTGAGGGAGCTGGTCCTGAGAGTCGTGTCCACCCACGACCTCATACCCGCCTCATTGATGATCCCCGGGATGTCCAACGAGCGCCTGCAGCTCTTCACGTAGGCCACTGCAACATCCCAGCTCTCCTGGGCTAGCAGCGCACGGAACGCACAGCCCCCAATACCTGCTCGGTGGCGCCCTGATAGGCAATGGATCAGGGCCGATTCGCCTGCATACATCGTATTACGCAGCAAAGGCCAGACTTCTTCGAAGTCCCTGTTCCTGGAACCACCATGGGCCACACACAGGTGTTTCAAGAGGGCATCTGTGAGCACCACTCCTCCTCTGGATGATGGGGCTTCGGCCATGCACGCAATCTGAAGGGTAACTCCCTTTGGAAAGCGGTTTGCCGTGTTCTTGGTTGGAATTCCACTCAGCCACAGCTTGCCCCCTGCCCTATTCTGATAAATAAGGCTCGGGCTCTCCGCCGTCTTGCCATGGACTGTCGCCAACCTGTCGAACTTCTGGTCGGGCCCTCGAGTATCCAGTGCCTCTGGGATCGGAAGGTCCTCCTCCTCGACTTCGACTTCTTCCTCTTCCGAACTGGTCTCCAGGGCTGGCAATGGCGCTGGAGGTGGAGCTGGGGCTGCTTTGGCCTTCTTCGCTGCCGGTGCCTTAGACGGCGGCCCTTGTGGGGACCGTGGGCGCCTCACTGACGCCTTAGGAGGGGCAGCTGGCTCCGGAGGTCGCTCCTCCGTGGATTTGCTAGTAGGCTTGGCCTTAGCAGATCCCGAACCAGGCCCTTCGCCAGCCATCTCCTCCACCTTGATGAACTTCTTGTCGTGGCATTCACATGCCGGATGGCCTCCACCGCAAACTCGTCCAGCTTTGCGCAGAATGGCGCATGCATGGCGACCAGGGCACGCTTCCTTCTCCAAGGGGCAAGACCTTGTCTGAAAAGCTCCACAAATGGGTGCTCCATTCTTCATGAATGCGCTCAGCACCTTCCCATTGAGAGATGCCGGCATCGCAGACAGGCCACCCTTGGCTTGTGCCTCTTCTCGTTTGGCCGCAGCCTTGAGCTTGAGAGCCTCCGACAGCTGAAAACGCGCCTGCATCTCAGCCTTTGTCAAAGGAGCTGCCCAAATGACCCTGGATTCCTGCTTCAGCACCTTGTCCACGTTCTGGCGTGCATACTCCAGGGCCTCAGCGTAGGTCTCCGTGGGGATGGTCTCCCATGACTCATGGGCAAGCAGCTTCTCCATAGCCAGCCTCACAATGTGCTTGGTCCTCAGCGAAGACTCATACCTGGCTGCACTGTAGTGCATAGGCATTGTCGCCTCCTTCGGGATCTGGGAACGATCTGCCCAGTCCCCCAATGAGCATAGCTCGAGAGGCGTCAGCTTCATCAAAGTGCCCACTGTAGGTGCTGCTCGTCGCCAGGAGTAGGAAGACAAATCCTCTGTATTCTGGACCAAGTGCTCAAAGACCTCACGATTGAGCTCGTTGACGAACTTCAATGTGTATGCGGTGCCCTCCGCATCAAAGCATAACCCTGAAGCGGCTTGCTTAGCCTTATCCAGACTGCTGTAGTCCCTGAACAAGGCCGAGCCCCAAGCCCATCCATTGACGAATGTAGCCGGAATGCTGAAGGAGAACCCGCCCCTGTTGGCCTTCTGCTTCCCCTTCGTGCAGTAGCCATGAAAGGAGCTGGGGGTCACTTTGACTGGCCTGGCACGCATGATGTGCTGGTATCTCAGGACACCAAAGGTAACCAGCCAGCTGGACAGCAAGCCCCTCCAACGCGGGTCCCCTGCTTCGTACAACGATTGAATCTTCTCTTCAAGCGCTGCAATCATTGGGGGCTCAACTGCAACAGCCTGTTCTGGGTTTGCCTGTTTGGGTGGATTCTTACGAGCTGGGACTGGTACATCACTGAAGTCCCATTGCAACCGGCCATGTTTGGAGAACCACTTCAAGGAGTGAAAGGCTCGGTAAGGCCCCGACGTGCCGTTCTGCAAGAAGCCATAGAGGTCCAATGCATCCGGCGGGAACAAGCGGTCCTTCTGCTCCATGTAGGCCCGCAACTCAGCCCAGGACTTCAGGGCATTCACCACCGTCGCTCCTTCGGCCTCTGTGACCTTCCGCTTAGACAAAGTATCCAGAGCGTCTTGCCACTGAGCGTACCTCTCCGGGGTCAACTCCCCTTGAGGACGCATGACCTTGGCTTGAGAAAAGGCCTTCCTCAATGCCGCAGCTCGCAGCAGCACCGTCTCTGGTTGGTCTGGGCCTGGCCGGACTCGAAGAGCTTGGACCATCTTGCTCTTCTTCATCATGGACGCCTTGGGCGCAGGCCATGTCGTTGGCCGATCTCTGGAGCCCGAGCTCTCAGCCACGGCAGCCGCTTGAGGGATGAGGTCAGCTTCGGCAGTTTTGGAGCGCGCTTGCAACCACGCATCTGCCACATGGTGTCCTCCATGTGCCACTGCGCTGTCATAGGATGCAAACGCATAGGCGAAGTCAGTCTCATCATGTAGTCCCCATTGAGCTCGCCACTGTTCAACACGGGTGGATGCCACCCTCTCCATCGCCGTCTCTGCACAAGGTGGAGCCTCACCAGCAGCCTGCACCGCATAGGCTCCTGGGTGGTATGCCATGGCGACGCCTGACACCACCGCCGCCAAGGTTCGGAGCGTACGGGCTGGGCCTGAAACTGCAGACCACACCTCAGTATCATCAGGTAACAAACAAACATCACTAGGCCGCAGCTGCTGCAGATGGGTCTCGACGCAAGACGGGGTGACATCCTGGACACTGGGAGGGTGGACAGGTACTGCACACAGAGCAGAAGCATCGCTCACAGAGCTCAGGTGTCGGCAGTCCACAAGCCTTGCAAGGTGGCAAGGGTTCCTCCCCAGCCTCCATGGCACCAAGCCAACCCCATAACGACCGAACTGCTCTGGCCCGTGGTGCTCTCCACGCAACCAGGTCAGCCGGGATGGGCACCAGGGATGGGTCCCTCCATCCACGCTGTGGGGATTGCCAGGTCCTCCACACATCCCAAAGTTCGGTGAGGTCGACCATGCTATCGGCATTGTGCTCGATGAAGGCGACCAAACCAAAGATGTTGTCCGGCGCAAAGTCCCGAGCCGTCCAATGAGTCCGCAGCGGCTCGATGAGTAGCAAATCCAGCTTCGCCTCGCCCAGGCGATCATAGTAGGATTGCCACGCACGCCGCGGGTCACTCCCGGGCAGAGCCAAGACAGCTGAGCTGTTCCATGTGCCGATCCAAGGGAACTTGAATCCTCCCTGATACTCAGTACACCTCCTACAGTTTTCTTCCATACAAGGTGACCGTCTGAAAGGGGGAAGTCCCTGCACCCCCAACCCAATTGGATGTGGGGGGAAATGATCAATTTGGCACACAGAAGCCCACAACCGGGTGGCCTCTGCCACCAAGCCCTGCTGGAGTAGGCCCTCCACGTGCGTCTTGAACTCGTAGTAGGCCGCCGCATGAAGCAGCTCCACATCCGTGTGGGCAGCCTCATTCCAACCGGGCCGAACGACGATGGATCGAGGCCCTTGGCATCGAGGGGGTGACCTCCCACCTTCGAACCTCTGTACTCTAGGGTAACGCCCTAGTAGAGGAACGAGAAACCACTGAACCTAGGGTAACTCCCTAGAAGTGGCGTGGGTACCCCAGCAAAAAGAAAGAACGATGAAGCCAGTTTGGCTCAGACTTGAGCCAAAATGGATTCATCAGCTTACATACTCACCCTAATGATAATGCACACCCAGTGCCTGCCAAACACGATGCATACAGATAGATAGATAGATAGATAGATAGATACATACATATATAAATAAATAATATATATATATATATACATAATCCACCCGCTTGGAAAACACATCTCAATTGACTTAAAAAACAATGAATCCCGTTGTGGTCGGTGAACAAAGTGAAGCCCCGACATGAGCCACGGCAGCTACGACACTCGCACTCGGCTCTGGCCACTTGAATTTGATGCGTTGCGGTCATCATGCTAGCCCCGAGGTCGGGCTGCGCGCAAAAGGCAAGGCTTGTCCGATTACCTCAAACCGCAACACCAACTGGCCGTTTTTTGCCAGGGGGGCCAGCATATCTTGGCCGGCTTTGCACTCAAAAAGCTGAAAGGCTTGCGTGGCTAGAGAACACAAACTCGACGTAGGCCCGTGTACACTTATGAACAGTGGAACTTTGACATCATGGGAAGGAACTGGGAATGGAAGTCCCTGAGTGTCATTTCTCGAAGGACCACTAACCTACACCCGTTCTTATCATTTTTTCGCCAGCGAAAAACCCATGTGGAATTTCAGACTTTGGATGGTACGGCGCTAGAGCCTCTGGATCTAGCACACCACTTAGACTCTGCGTAGACTCTGTGGAATGGTACGCTTTGGTATTGTAATACTTGAGTAATCTTGTAACAGTATTGTATGGGCAATCCAGTTCCTGTTCTGCTGGATCGTTTCGAGACCTGTTTTTGATGTTTCTTGTTTCTTGTAGCATCGTGGTCCAACCTGTGTGTCTTGACATGGCATGGATTTGTGGCCTTCTATGAGCTGGTTCCCAAGCCAAAGTGGGGGGTGCGATTTGCAAAACCGCCGTAGCTCAAACCTGTCCGAGAACTACCAATATTCAGTACTGCTGTCAACACGGCACGCATGATAAAATCATAAAGGTCATATCGCACCCCCAGCGGATGGTCAAATTCTACCCAACAACGTTGGGTTCGACGAGCTTGACCCCGCGGCGGCTCTCGGCTCACAAAATTGCACTGGTCCAGGGCCCCCAGGGCTTATACCAATCCTAGCCAGGTGTGGAGATGTGCTGTGACACTGCACACTTGTGCAAGGTAGAGGCAAACTAACACACACCTTTGACATATCGCAGTCGAGAAACACGCTAGGCATGACAGGCAAGAGGACCGGCACAATGGAAACCGTCTGTGCTCCGCACGAGGTTCCTTGGTCCTGTCTCCTGGCGGAGCTATGCGGAGCTATGAGCAATGCCACCACGAGATACCCGGGAGGGCACGAGAGCACTGCTTCAGCTCATGCCATGCTATATGCAAATATATTAACATATAAATATATAGTATTATATAGTCAGCTATAAATGTATATAACTTGTTTTGAGCCTCTCAAGGGCGCCCTGCAAACACCCCAATGTCTGGCCTGTGCCATGTGAGAACAAGTACTACACTTGATCATAACCACCTGTACATGCCACATGAAATTCACTCCGGTCGCCTTTCGGAGGCAGCCGTTGGTCTAGCCCATGCAATCTTTGCATCGTTTCAACTCTACACAGGGTCGATCTTCTGCACCATGCTTCAAATGATTACATGTGGCTTCACGGTAGCACTTACCGCTACGCATCATGAAAACTCTGGGCGGAGCTTTGGTGTTGGCAAGCTGTTGCCTCAGAGACATGATCTCACGACCGCATTGGTCCTTCAGCTCTTGGAGCCTGTCGCAATAACACTCAGCTTTCAGCAGCTGCTTGAGGTCATCCATCTCCTCGCCCACAGGCTGTTGGAAAAGTGCCCGAGTATCTCGCTGACGCTTGTCACGTTCTTCTTTCTCCTTCTCCTTGCTCTGCAGGAAGGCAATGTATCGAGCCGATGAGGCCACCACCGACTTCTGTGTCTCGAAGTCTTCCATCAGCTTGTCAGTCATACTTCTCCTGCAAGGTCTCGTACCTTTCATATAGTACTTTTTGCGATCGGGGAGAAACTGCTGTTTCTGCTCGAATGTCTCGTCGAGCCGCAGAGCATATAGGTGTCGCGGTCCATCTTGCTGTCTTCCAGGTCTCGCTTGAATCCCGCCAAGTCTTGGAATCTTCCCAACTTTTCGATTCGGCCATCTTCTCTTCATACTTCTGTTTGAAGCCATCTGCCGCGTCTTCTTTGATCTTCACTGTCACCTGGAGCTCGTCGATCTCGATCTCCAGCTTCCGAACTCGCTTCCTGAGGGCGCGATAGTGCTGCGCCAGATCATCCTCGTCCACCTCCATCAGAACAGTCGGATCATCGTCGTCCATTGGATGACTTTCATCTTCAGGTTCTGCTTTCACCACAAATCTCTTGTTGCGCGTTTCTGTCACCTTGCTGGAGATGTAGCGAACCCGAAGAATGCTCTCATGACTGACACGAATGTTGTCAGGGTTCTTCTTCACATCCTCCAGAATCCTCATCGGTCTTGATAATGTCATGCTCGGAGTACTCCTGCACTGTCGGCAGGATGCGAGATGTCACTGGATGGTTCTCCGCGTTTGAAAACTCACCACACCAGCTGTCATCAGTTCCAGCAGGTTCTTGCGGACCAATGGTTTGGTCAGTGCATCATGCACTTGTCATGCACTCCGTCGGCACCAGCACAATTTGCCGCATCTTCCCGCTCAGTCTCGCCTCCTTGATGCCAAGCACATCGAGACGCTGTCCTTTGTCTTGTGGCAATGTCCTCAAACCTGTGACCAACTCCCAAAGGTCCTTGCAGCGCCAGAGAAGTCGATTGGAAGATCAGGGTTGCCAGTCTCCTGGATGGAAATCAGCTGCTTCAGGATAGGACTTCTGTCCACATGGTAGATCTCGGATCTACCTGATCCTGATTAAGGTTGAAGCTTCAAGGCCTCCAACCATCGATAGGGTTTCAGCATGGCTTGTTGTAGCTAGCTCGTTTAGCCTTGCCACGAGATGCATGTAGCACATGGAAGATGCCCTTGTGCTCAATTGACCTCATGGTCGTCGATGACCGTTTCATGGCTCATGGTCTTAATTAGTTCGGAAAGCATCATCCACAAGACCAATCATGACCCCTTCTTGAGCATAGCGTCGGCCTTTGCTGCCCCAAGAGGCATCATGAATGCACATCAGTCTCTGGCATCGCTCCTTGAGGTAGCAGTAGTAGGGCCCGGTCTCCTTGAACTCGTAGACCTTGTCCAAGATCTGGTTCGCCGTCTTGATGTCTCTGACTTCGGCTAGTGTGACTCGGCCTTGCAGCACTGACAAATCGGCAATGATGTCCAGCCTTGTCGCTGACAGCCAAAGTAGAGCACCCGGTATGGATCGTAGATCCGATGTCTCCTCTTTCGTGAGCCTCTTGCCGTCTCCACGCTTGGGGATCAGAGCATGTTTCGGCTTCTCAGCAAATTCTTGCTGACTGATCTTGTAGCCGTTCTTGACCTTGATGTACCCGCAGCTGCAGTGGGTGAATGGATGTGAATGGCAATTGTTGCCTGGTCACCTCTCCAAAGCGATTGACAAAGGCGTTGTACATGTTGGTCATCCACTTGACTGGAGCTGTGAGAGCAATGTCATCGACGTGGGTCGCTGCAGCAGCAACCAAACGTCCTTCTTCTTTCCATGAAAACCAGTTTTCATCAAGTTGAGATCGCTCTCCTCCAGTGCTCTCGACGAACTGATGTAGACAAATTTGCCATGCCAAGGGTGCATCATTGAGGCCATACAACGGCTTCACGCATACCAGACCGTAGTTGTGTTCTTGTCCTTCAGCAGTCGCGAAGTCTGGGCTAAGCTCTGCAAGGTGCCGAAACACATTCATTGGAGGGAAAACCACAACCACTCTCGTTGGAGCGTGGATCCCAAGCTCCTTCAAAGCTTTCTGGATCTCCTGGAAGGTGAACCCCTTGAGGAAGGCTCCGGCAACGTCCAGACTTTCCAAGGTGCGATCTGGATCGCATGCTGCTTGGTTGATGCGCATGCGTTGGCTGAGACGAGTTGCCGTAGTGGATCTTGTGGTCAATTGATCTTTCAGTTGATCCAGGAAACCTTTGGCGCATAACATGGACTTGATCTTGTAGGTGCGGTCAGGGTTCCTTTTCCACTTCCGAACCAATCGGGCGTTGATAATCACCATGTCTGATGTGATCTGGGATCGACGGATCCGCTTGAAAGCCTTCTCATCCACGAACTGTTGGAGTTCGACCCGGTCGGCATCGTTGACCTTCTTCCAGATGTCAGGGGTGATGTCCTCCTCGTTGGTGTTTTTTGCGTCTCTTCGTCCACCTTGTATTATATTTCGGCTGTGTGCAAGCATGCGCTGGCTGAATGGTGGTTCTTGCACTGGATGTGAAAGAGGACTGGTAGCTGAGCTCGTTCGCGTTCATAGTAGTGAAGGAAGTTCCTTGTGGTCACCGTCATGAGATCATAGCCGTACTTCCAGTCTTCGGCATAGTCATAGATGACCAGTTGCTTTTTTGAGCTTTCAACATACCACAACGGATGGCTTGGGTGAGTTCGGCGGTGGAATCCTGTGTCTCATCCACATTTCTCATGTCCGCATCTTGCTCTTGGTCTTCTGCTGGCGGCATTGGCGCATCCTCATCTTGCGCGTTGCTCACGAACGACTCGCCTTCTTTCTCCAGAAATTGTTGATGAGCAGTCAACCATGCAGATCGAAAGTCAGGCGCCCAATCTCTTCTATTCAACCATGACACTGCCGTAGACGGCGCTTCAGAATGAACCTCATAAGCTTTACCATTCCATTCGCTCAAGAACTCCAGCTCCCTTTTCACAAGGCAGATCTTCTGCTTCTCCTTTTCTGGGGCAATGACCACCGTTCTCGAATCTGGCCCTTCCCGCTTCTTGTTCTTCTTGTCCACTTCCATGGATGCTGTTGACTGTTGGCCATCATTGTCCAGATTGGACGGAGAGAACTGCCTCTGCTTCACTTCAGTGGATGCCTCACCTTCACTGGTGGGGTTGTAGTAGTAGAAGTAAGTAGACGATGCAGATCTCCTCCTTGGCATATGTGCTGAACTTCTTTGCCTTGAGGTGGCTTGCGTTGTGGCATTCTTGGACGGAGAAATTGGCACCGCCTTGAAGTGTGAGAGGCCCAATGATCTCATCATCGAGGCTGCAGATCTGATACCAGAGCTTCAGCTTTCCGAAGTAAAGACGTACCCCGGTGTCCACCCTGGCGGGATGTCTCGCCAAAACTCCTGCAAGGGAATTGATTCCGGGTTGCCATCTTGGAGTCGACCTTGTCCAGGAGGACCACCAGGTTGTACACAGAGGCCATTGGCCAGCAATGGGTGAAGGAAGGTTCACCAGGAAATGCACCAAAACCACCGGCGAAGTAAAGGCAATGAGGACCCTCAGGTTTTACCCAATGACCACGCCCAGGGTATTCACAAGAAAGTCCAAAGGGGCTGTTGCCAAAGTCCAGACGCGCCCCGCTCACGAGGCAGCCTCCGGAGAGGCAGCAGCCGCCAAGCAGGACGCAGTGTCCCAGGTAGGGAGCCCCCGTAGGATGCTCCGCTACCAAACTTGTTTTGAGCCGCTCAAGGGCGCCCTGCGAACACCCCAATGTCTGGTCTGTGCCATGTGAGAACAGGTCCACCTGTACATGCCACATGAAATTCACTGATATTATTATATATATATATATCTCTGTGTGTGTGTGTAGAGTTACATGGGCGACCACATGTCCCAAGAATTTCAATATTGTTAAATTTTCAACTGACCACTATCAATCTTTGGGCTCAAATCAACCTTTGTCCGCCGGCGTCCGCCAGCAACGTTTTGACATGCAACATCACGTAACATAACATAACACAACATTGTGCAACAAACCTTTCAGTCCTTTCAGAGGCTTGCAGTTGCAGCTTGCAAAAACACCCAAAAACTGATTGTACTATAACATAATATCATATAATTGTGTTGCCACGTGCTGCCCCACTGGATGTCACCCAAAGGGCCTCTGACGTGCCATGCAGCGATGAACTTTCCTCTGACGAGTGAGCTCCCCTGCCGCAAGGATCCGCTTAGAACTCAAAAAACTATGAGATCTATGAGCTATGCAATAGAAAACTATAGAAAAACCATGATGTAGCTTTGACAAATTTTGACAACCTACGAAAATTGCAATGGATGAAAACGACTGAAAATACTGAGATCGAAAACAACCGGTAGGTCAACTCAAATCTCAGAAACATTCAGCAACAAGGTTGGTTGCATTGTGTCCATACACATCCATCTAATCGAAGGAAGTTTAGAAGTCAAACTTCCGACAATATGGAGAGATGAAAAAGCAGTCAGCAGGGAGAAGAGTCAGAAGAGAAAAGATCAGAAGAAAGAAGATGCAGGTGCGCGAAAAGGTAGGAAAGTCGCGAAACACTTGTTTTTTCGTGGTTTTGTGGCTCCGGAGGGTTGAAAAGTAGGCTCGCTAAAGCGGCGGGTGCGGAGACATCTGGGGAGATGAGAGATGAAAAGTTGCACGCTCTTGTGGCGCGAAGCCGATTTCGAAGTGAAAAGGTACAAAACACCTCAGGATCGGACCACTTTTGGAAGTTGAGATGTTGAAAAAGTGCACGGCGTTGTGGCGCGAAGCACATTTGGAAGTAAAATGTGTTAAAAACTGAGGGGTTCGGACCACTTTTGGAAGTTGAGATGTTGAAAAAGTGCACGCCGTTGTGGCGCGAAGCACATTTGGAAGTAAAAGTGTTAAAAACGAGGGGTTCGGAGCACTTTTGGAAGTTGAGATGTCGAAAAGTGCACGCCGTTGTGGCGCGAAGCACATTTGGAAGTAAAATGTTAAAACAGTCGGAGCACTTTTGGAAGTTGAGATGTTGAAAAAGTGCACGGTTGTGGCGCGAAGCACATTTCGAAGTCAAAATGTACAAAACACCTGGGTCTCGGAGCACTTTTGGAAGTTGAGATGTCGAAAAAGTGCACGCCGTTGTGGCGCGAAGCACATTTCGAAGTGAAAATGTACAAAACACACCATGTACGGACCACTTTTGGAAGTTGAGATGTCGAAAAAGTGCACGCCGTTGTGGCGCGAAGCACATTTTTCGAAGTCAAAATGTACAAAACACACCATGTACGGACCACTTTTGGAGGTTCAGATGTCGTTTGCGTGGCAGGCGCAAGGGATTGTGGACCTTGTCAAAAGTGAGCAAAACATGAGGTTTTTGTAGCATTTTCAACTAACATAGACCCGGGCAAGCCGGCGGCGGAAGTTTCCCAAACATAAATGACCTATAGTTCAAAGACACCCTGTCCCGACCGTGTCCTTCCCTCGACAACCGTTTGATTTTTTCAGCGAGAGACGAAGCAAAGTCTTCACACTCCACACTCCACACTTCACACTGCACTCTTCGCACTCCAAACTTCAAACTTCACACTCCACACTTCACACTTCACACTGCTTCCTTCACAGTCCAAACCTCACACTTCACACTTCACACTGCGCTCTTCGCGCTCCAAACTGAAACTTCACACTTCACACTTCACACTCCACACTTCACACTTCTCACTTCCCACTGATTCCTTCACACTTCACACTTCACACTGCACTCTTTACGCCCCACACTTCACACTGCTCTAAACCTACGTGCAACAAAAACAACATGAGTGCCAAAATGGAGAAAATCTGCTAACAAATTTATTTCGTAGCCTTCATGCAGCCACTCCAAGACGATTTCCGAGATCCAGCTGCAAAAGACCATAGTATTACAAATGCAGCCACAGCACGAAGCAACTTTGACGCAGCCATTGCAATAGGATCTGCAGAGACTGAGTTGCAAAACACAATAGAACTACGCGCAACGGCGTCGGAAATTGTAGCTCCAACGCCAGAGCAGAAAAAGTTGATTTTAAATAGAAAATGAAAGCAGCCAAAATCTGAAAGATCCTTTTTTTGTCACATGTATGCAATACGATCATGGTTTCTTGTGCGGTTCGTAACAACGCACACAGAAACGAAAATTAAGTGACACAGGCATTCTGCCGTCTGCAACCCTAAATGAAAGGCGAAGCTACTGGAGCACAGCAATTCAGACTCGGATGCGGTTCACAACAACGCACACCCAGCCCTCGGCAGTCAAACGAGAGTTGATCCCTCTGCGGCAAGACCACGTACTGTTGCTGTGCAAGATGTTGAGCCATTCTGCGCACTGAGCTTTGGTTCTGTGGCGACGCAAAGCGTACCAGAGACTTCGGCTTTCTCCAATGGCCCCAATCTGAACTTTTGGCGCTCTAGTCATTCACCACAGGTGGCTGCAACCGTCGCAACCGCAGCGGTAGATCATCGAGGTTCGGGGACGGACTAGTATGGAAAAACATTAGGGTTTCGTGCATCTTGTATTCTCTCAAAAACGCATTCTGTGGAGACGTTGCCTTCAAAACTCCATCGGCAATCCTCCCCACAGCACCACGTGCATCCCATTTACAGTGAGGGAACGATCTGAGTTGCAAAAATCACAATGTAATTGCCATCGGCAACATCCACACGCACCACTTGCAATCCCATTTGCAGTGAGGGAACGATTCCTAGAGTTGCAAATCCAAAATGGAATTCCACGGGAATCGGCAACTCATCACCAGCACCACTTGCAATCCCATTTACATCTGCGGGAACGATTCATAAGTTACAAATACAAGGAAATTCTGTCGACGCAAATGCACGAAACACAGGTGAAAAACCCCATTGTCACAATTGAGGAACCGATCCGAACATGATCCGAACATGATCCGAGATTCACGAGACAGTATCGCAACCGTCGCACGCAGAGGTAGATCATCGAGGTTCAGGGGACGGACTTTGTATGGAAAAACATAGGGTTTTCGTGCATTTCGGCGTATCTCTCAAAAACGCATTTCGTGCGAGACTTCCTTCAAAACTCCATCGGCAACTCCTCCACCAGCACCACTTGCAATCCCATTTACAGTGAGAAAACGATCCTAGAGTTGCAAATCACAATGGAATTCCATCGGCAACTCATCCACCAGCACCACTTGCAATCCCATTTACATTGCAGGAACGATCCTACAGTTACAAATCACAATGGAATTCTGTCGACCACACATGCACGAAAAACAGTTGAAACCCCATTTACAATGCGGAACCGATCCGACCATGATCCGCCCATGATCCGACCATGATCCGACCACACACGAGACCGTCTCGCACCCGTCGCACCGCAGAGGTAGATCATCGAGGTTCGGGGACGGACTTTGTCCGGAAAAACATAGGGTTTCGTGCATCTGCTATCTCTCAAAAACGCATTTCGTGCGAGACTTCCTTCAAAACTCCATCGGCAACTCCTCCACCAGCACCACGTGCAATCCCATTTACAGTGAGGGAACGATCCTAGAGTTGCAAATCACAATGGAATTCCATCGGCAACTCATCCACCAGCACCACTTGCAACCCCATTTACAATGCGGGAACGATCCTATACAGTTGCAAATCACAATGGAATTCTGTCGACCGCGCATGCACGAAAAACACTTGAAACCCCATTTACAATGCGGAACCGATCCGACCATGATCCGACCATGATCCGAACATGATCCCATGATCCGACCACACACGAGACCGTCTCGCACCCGTCGCACCGCAGAGGTAGATCATCGAGGTTCGGGGACGGACTTTGTATGGAAAAACATAGGTTTCGTGCATCTGCTATCTCTCAAAAACGCATTTCGTGCGAGACTTCCTCCAAAACTCCATCGGCAACTCCTCCACCAGCACCACTTGCAATCCCATTTACAGTGAGGGAACAATTTCTTTGACTAACTCGTTCCCTAACGAACTCTTTCTTTGCTAACTCTTTCTTTGCTCTTTCTTTGACCAACTCTTTCCCTCACTAACTCTTTCTTTGACTAACTCTTTCCCTGACTAACTGTTTCTTTGACTAACTCTTTCTTTGACTAACTCTTTCCCTGACGAACTCTTTCTTTGCTAACTCTTTCTGTGACTAACTCTTTCCCTCACTAACTCTTTCTTTGACTAACTCTTTCCCTGACTAACTGATACCCCTTGGTTGCTCCTAGGGGGGGTCCAGCCCCTGAAATAGTAGACCCCAGTGGCTGTTTTCCAGAGGGGCCTGACCCCCCCATACCCCTTTTGAGCATTTCTAAATGGATAAAATCTAGGGGCCCAAGTCTAGCATTCGTAAACCAAACATTTTTGCTAACACTCAACTTGGACAAGGGAACCAATACTTTGGAGCATTTTGGACGTTCAAAAATGATCAAAGGTCAGGCCCCTCAAAATATTTTGGGCATGTTGTGAATATTTAGGACATACATGTTTTATCTGTGAATCTTCTGAAACCATGGGCCTCCTGGATTTTAGCCATCGATTTTTTCTGCATGCCTCAGATAAGCTGGCCACTTTGAAAGGTTTTCAACGGAGATAAAGTTGATAAACATGTCATAACTATCTTCCCAAGAACACAATTTCTGCGCACCTTTAACGCCAGTTTTCTTAGAGAGATTCATCTATCAAGGTTAGTGGGTACAGATGTTATTTTCAGGCTTCCCCTCCAAGTTTCAAGAGCAAAGATTGGACAAGGCGAGGTGTTGGTTTCCAGGATTTGGTAGCCTTTTTTGGAATCAATTTCAGTGTGTCCTTGATGTGCAGGAGACTTTGTTCTGGATTTACTTTTAACAAATATGATAAAGGTAAACATCTCAGAACTGTCCCAAGTAAATAAACTTAGTGCAAGTTTTTGACGCCAATTTTGCAGAGAGGTTGATATCTCAAGGTTGGGCACACAGGTTTTATTTGCTGGAACTGAAGATGGACAGGGTGAGATGCTGGTATCCAGGATTTGGTTGCGTGCTTTTTGAGATCAATTTCAATATTTGTCCTTGATGTGAAAGTTCAACAAAAAATGACGTT